ACCCATTCTTTCTGTCAAGTAGTTTACGATCAATAAATTGGTACTGGCCGTTCCCCCTTACCTATAGGCAATCCCCTAAATGCTACTGCTGCACTGCTAGAAAAATAAAACTTGAAACTTTTAGAGAAATTGGGAGTTCACAAGCAAAATAATGAAAAAAAAAACACTTTTAAAATTACAGTCTATTTAGTGGACTAAAGACGGAAATAAAAGGATAGGTTCTTCGGATGTGGCCCAGGTATAGTAAATTATATATCCTTCCATGGCATAAATGTTTTCACTCCTTTTTTTATATTTTCTAAAGTTCACCTGGTGATAATTTTGGTGTGGGGAAAAAATATTCTTAAAAACTTAAAAGCCTCTGACAGTGTGTGGGGCTTTCAGTCACTCAATATTAACGTAAATTAATTCAACCAGATTGTTCTCCTCCTAACTTTGTGACATCTTCCGTGAGTCAATGGTAGGTGTGATTGGTAATAGTGAACTTAAGTCATTTTGGAGTCTACAGCACTTTGCACATGGCGAATCTTTCTTGGATATACTGCTATTAAGGACACTAGCTCTTAGAAACTTGGGACAAGGAAAACTGGGAGATTAAGGGGGAGGAGAGATGCCAAAGATCAACCTGACCTAATTCAACAATCTGCCTTGTGTTAGCCCAGAACCCAGGGGAGTAGGAAGAGTTTAGGCTAATACCCTGTACTATTTGAGCAGTGCAAAAAGATTAAATGGATGGTTGGGGACCTAATCATCAGTCAGGGTACATTTCTATGGAACAATGATGAATTGCAAAGAGCCAACTTATGAATGGAATTTTGAAATATCAACCCATTTATAAGTTTGAAACTGCCTATTCTGAATTTAAACTTACACTGAGTACCAGGAGGTGACAGACTCCAAGTAGGGTAGAAATAAAAATTAGATAAAAGGTCAGATTTACAAGGTCATAAAAGAGATGCCAACTATAGGTGACATCATCTACACAGAAGGATGTCCCAGAAACAGTCAGAAGACAGTTTCATGGAAAAGTCCCCAGAGCAGAGTAGGAATTTGAAATTGTAAGGATGAGAATGTACTGCAACAGTCAACATCAGAAGTGGGTCAACATGGAATATAGAAAAATGTGAGATGAAGACCATTTGTTACTCTTTATGGAATGTGGCCAAGGAAAAAGATCCTCTAGTAGAAGTCTTCTGAAATTTCTTTCTGGTAGAGAAAGATGACTCATTAGGTCTTTATCACTTAAGAATAGTTTACACCATTTAGTTCCTATTGCCTAGATTCTATATTAATCAAGAAACTTCCCAATTATGGGTTAGGTTTCACAAGGATCGATATGTTTAGAAAAAGGTACCTAGATGAGAAAAACATCCTATCTGATCCATCTGACAGATACATTCTCCTATGTAAAATTTTTAAATATTGTAGTATGTGGATTAGGCTCTTTGGAATTTGATTAGTGAATTGATTCCTATGGTCTGCTTACCCTGTGTGAAACTGTAGGGATCGGAAAAATATCAAACAAATGTTTATTCTAGCAATAATTATCTATCACCTTTGACAAGTTACTTTTTTTTTCAGGGCTCAGTTTCTATAGCTACAAATGAGAGATTTGACTAAATAATCTAATTTCTATATATGTAAAGCAGAGGTTTAGATCTAAAGTACGAACCCAATGGCAATATGTCTTCTCAAATAGCCCTTTCAACCTGCTAATATGATTAAAGAATAATATCTAAGGGAGACTTGATTTAAATATAATGCACCTAATGTTCCCCATTTAAAATAAATTATTTTGTACTAAAGCAAAGCATCTCCTAAGTTAATTATTTCATAAATTTGGATTTTGGTATATCTTCTTAAAGTGGGGCATTCTTGCTCAAATATCCTTAGCCAAAGAAAAGCTAATATTGCAATTCCATATCACCAGGAATGGGGAGCTTGTATTTACAAATGTGCTCCACCTTGCTCTTCCCGCAAGAGGCCTAAAAATGGTTCACTATTTCCTTGACCCAGAGAACCCTACAGAATCATGTAAATCTAGAGGTTCAAATCCCTGTGTTCACTTTAAGAACACTTGTGAAACTGCCCAGCACATCAAAAGTTTGCATATCCAAAAAGCCACCAAGAGTCCAAAGGATGTCACATTATAGAAGCAATGTGTGCCATTCCATTGTTACGATGGTGGAGTTGGTAGGTGTGCCCAGGCCAAACAGAGGGGCTGGACGCAGGGTCAGTGGCCCTGCTCAAAACCTTGCAATGGATCCCCATTTCAATCAAAATATAAACCCAAACCCTTAAACTAGCCTACAAGGCCCTAGGCAATATGGGCCCATTTCCTTTAGATCCTCATCTCCTACTATTGTCCCCTTGCTCACTCTACTCTCATCTCACTGGCCTTCTTGCTCTAAACTGTAACATGCCAGACACACGCTGACTTGGGGCCTTTACTCTAGCTCTCCCCTCTGCGTGGGGCACTACAGCAGGTCCTCTAATAAAGTAATTTTGTTATAACATTGATAAGAAAAAACAATCGATTCCTAGCTGGGGCCACTGTGTGGAGTTTGTACGTTCTTCCCATATCTGTGTGGGTTTTCTCCAGGTACTCTAGTTACTTCCCACATCCCAAAGATGTGCACGTTAGGGGAACTGGCATGTCTACACAGTGTCAGTGAGGGTGGGATGAGTGTTGAGTGCACCCTGTGATGGAATGGCATCCTGTCCTGGGTGGGTCCCCCGCCTTGAGCTGCTGGGATAGACTCGACCCTGAACTGGAATAAGAGGGTTGAAAAAGAATCATCTCACCTGTCTTTACTAATCTTTCTTAAATGTCTGTATAGCTCACATTTATTTCAATGTTTAATATTAGAAATGTTTTGGGTCTTTAGAAGTCTGGTGATGTTTTTGTGGCCAGAAATATGCCATAGGAGCTTATATCATATATCAATGTCTACATCAATTAGCCTATGGTAAAATCAGTTTTGTTATGTCGTTTCACTTAAAGTTGCAGTTTCTAAGAACCTATCTATGATGTTAAGTGAGGACTTGCTATACTTCCCCAGGGCATCTGATTGGCTAATCCCCTCACCTCCTTCAAGTGTTGGCTCAATTCTCAATGAAACCAGCCTATACTGCAAATTGCCACACCACTGTCTACTTGCACCCCCTAGACTGCTCTCTTACCTTGCTCTACTTTTTTTTTTTTTTTTGGAGCACTTACCCGCTTCTAACAAACCATAAAATCTACTGTACTTATTGTTGTCTGCTTCCCCGGTCCCCAACCCCCACAGCCCTCCTTCCCCTTTGCTTGTCCTCTTGCTAGAATGAATCTAACTAATACATCCAAAGTACTGATGTAGTCCCTGGCACATAATCGATATTCATATTTAATCATTTGCTGAATGAATGGAATTGAGCAGTGCAGGAAGCTGGGCTGGAAGGTCTTTCTTCCAGCTACCCCCCTGCTTTCCCCAATCCCCTCTCACAGTGCTTGACTTAGACTCCACTAGACAGACATGCAGAAGTCATTAAGGCAAATGTGATATTTCATGTTCTTTCTTGGACTTTGGAGCCGCCTTTTTTAAAGAAGAAAACTTTGAACGGTGTTACGCCCTCCACCCATATTATTATTATTATGGCCTTAAGAATGATAGACAAACAAGATATGCTCCACTCCTCCACTCTGATCCTACATAGCCAAAGGCCTTGTGGGGATTTAATCCACACCTCTTATTAGTATTTCTATCCTCATTTACTCTTGGCATTATTTGGTGCCCACACCCTAAACCTGTGGACAGTTCAATGGGGTCACAATTAGAAGTTTAATATTAGCTAGGTAAAGCTAGGTGTTTTGTTTTGTTTTGTTTTAAATCAAAGACAAGATCAAGTTTTCTCAGTTGTCCTTTCATTATTTCTTTCTTGTTTTATAGCTTTTTTACCAGGGATGTTCCAATGTAAGGTCTATCCAGTGATGGGGGCTTCATCAGAGAGTTTTCCCACCACCAGCACCTCCATAACTCCTGGGAATATAGGAGGAGAGAAAACCACACAGATTGATTTTTCTAGCGCTCAGAAACAAGGTACAAAATAAGTGGGGGTGAGACAAGAACAGAAGGAAAAAGGAAACATTTTTAGCCCCAACATTAGTCTGGGTTTCCTAGGATTTTCCTGGAGGTTTAAAAGTTACACAGTTTACCTTGGAAAATCATTCCATTTCGTATGGAAAAAAATCAGTTTCTCTGTAAAGAAGGTCCCAGAAATGTTTGTAATTTGACATGACAGCAATGCACCATATAACAATGTTTCAGTCAACTATGGCCCGCATATATAACAGTGGTCCCATAAGATAATGGAGCTGAAAAATTCCTAATGTCGGGTCATAATGTCATAGCATAACATATTACTGACATGTCTGTGGTGACGCTGGTGTAAACAAACCTACTGTGCTGCCAGTACACAATTATGTACAGTACGTAATACTTGATAAGGATAATAAACAACTATGTTATTGGCAAAAAGTATTTGATATACTTGTTCATTGCTATTTTAGAGTATACTCTTTCTACTTATGTTTGCTATGAAATAGTAGCCATGTTAAGCCAGCAGCAGCCTCATACATCTCATGTTCACCATCTCTCTTGATTGCACCATTTTCTCTTGTGCTTGATTTAATCTTATGCTGTTTTGTAAATGTAGTGTAGACTAAGTATACAGTGTTTTATAAAGTCTGCAGTAGTGTACATGATGTCCTAGGCCTTCACATCCATTCACCACTCATGGACTCACCCACAGCAACTACCAGTCCTGCAAGCTCCATTCATGGTAAGTACCCTATACAGGTGTATCATTTTTTACCTTTTACACTGTATTTTTACTGTACTTTTTCTATGTTTAGATAAGTTTAGATACACAAATACTTACCATTGTGTTACAATTGCCTATAGTATTCCGTACAGTACCATGCTGTACAAGCTTGAGCCTAAGAGCAATAGGCTGTACCACACAGCCTAGGTGTGCAGTGGGCTGTACCAGTGAGGTGTGTGAAAATGCACTCTGTGAAGTTCCCACAATGATGCAATCGCCTAATGATGCAATTCTCAGAATGCATTCCTGTCATTAAGCAGTGCATGGCTGTATTAATAATCCTTTACCTCCATACGTGAACTCATTCTGTAGCCAGATTTGGGAAAAGAAAAAAACGTAGGTAATTCCAGCCATTTCGTGTACAGACAGCATTTACACACTATGCAATCATTACAGAGATGTCAACAACAGAGTGCATATTTCATCTGCACTGTTTTTAGAAATAGCCCTCCCTAAATTGGCCAGGACTCGAATTCTGTAAGATTCCAGTTTGGGTTACGTCCTAGTTCCTACCAGGAGAAAAGTAAATATGACGTTAGTGATAATAGAATGCACAGAAACCATCTGTCCTCAAAGTTGGCTGATGACCCAGAAGCAATGCCAGTTCACCTTGTTCCTCCTATGCCCCACTAAAGCCACAAGGAGCACAGGAAAGGTGATTTTCTAATCCCATACAGTGTGTCAGGACACAAGGGGAGAGACCCTAAAGGGCTGCTGGTGAAAGGTGGGTTTAGAACAGAGCCCACGATCGCTACCCGACTCCTGACTCTGAGTCTGAACTGGAAATTCAGCCTCTGCCTCTGAATCAAGTTGGGCCCCTATTCATCACATGAGCCAGGAGACTGTCAAGTCAAGGGCCGATCTCTTCCCTCTCTCAAATTCTCTTCTACTCCTCTCTCCCCTTTTAGACACAGAGGAGAACCTAAAGACGAGGCAGAAATGGAGCACTGTGGTCAAATTTCTGATTGCTGTCATTCTGTTGCTCAGTGGCGTCACCATTACAGTGTTTGTCATTTTTGAAGTCCCATGTCCTGTAAGTTTGCTGATATACTGGGGCCTTGCAGTTGATCTATAAATTTCTCCTCCTGTTCCAGAGACAGGTTGGCATAATGAAAAAAAGCACAGACTTTGGAATTTGGATAGATCTGCCATTCACACTTGCTAGCTGAGTGGTTTTGAGCAAGTTGCTTGAGTCCAACCTCAGTTGCCTCATCTTTAATTTGGGACTAATGATATTTGCCTTTTATGGTGGTTATAAAGGTTAACTGAGATACTGTGTGACAGGCGCCTGGCACATAGGAGGTCCTTGCTAAATGCGAGTCCCTTTCCTCTGCTCTATTTGTATGTTCTTTAGGGAGGATAGTGTGAATAGGACCAAATATTTTCTTTAGAAGAGATTATTTTCTTTAAATGGCCTGACATAAGGTTTGGAAGATAATCAAATGCATACCAGCCACCTGAAGTTAATGCCCGTCATTTTCTCCCTTCAGAGTCAATGCCAGAGAGCCAGAAAGCTATGCCAACGCCGGTGGTTGTGGAGAAGCAAGGGAGGCCACCAGGAACCTGAGGCAGCTGAATTTCAGCCTGAGTCTCAGCCAGAGAAGGAAAGTGCTGTCTGTATGATTTATGTCACTTGCTTGGAGAAAATGAGGCTAACACATAAGTGCTGGGAGACAGGGAGCTGCTTTAGTTATAAAGCAAATATGGGTAATTCTTTTGTGTGCCAGGAAATAGGTAGGTATTTGTACCGCTGTTTTCCTAACATCAGCCCAGCCATAACACAATAGGGCACATATTGAAAATACAGATTTCTGGGCCTCAGATAGAATGAATCAGAATGTCATTGTGTCTGGGGCCAGAAATCTTATTTTTAAGTTTTTAACAAGCTCCCTAAGTAGAAGCAGATTTACTGTGAAATTAATGAAGTTTAAGCTTCAGGATCCATGGGACCAATACAAGGCCTTGTATCCAATTTTGTTTTAAAATTTGTATACTTTTTCTTTTAAAAAAAGGTCCCCCAAACTGTAAGAGTTCCAGAGCCCACAACTATGTATCCATCCCTGCCCCGGGGTAACTTGCACATACACCAGTTTAGGAACCATCACACTTGAACAGTGTGAATACCTGGCAAACCAGCTTCCGTCCTCCCTGCCCTTGGGTTTCCTGACAGGATTATAAACTCATATATTGCCCTGTGGTGTCTAAAACAGACACTACAACAGCACTGGTTCAGCATAGCTACTTTAAATCCAGTTTCCCCATGAGGAATGGAGTCAGCCTTTGAATACTAGAAACGGATGGGTGCCTTCTCTACATTTATATAATATCCACTAAGGCAAAGAGATGTGGTCTCTAGTACTTTTTAAACTAAAGAAAGTGTCCACTTTTGCAGAATTACAGCACTGAGAACGGGTCTCAAAGATTATCTAGTCTAGGATGGTACGGTACATATGCTGCCACTCTAATTCTATGTCGGCTGCACGTATCAACAATCAAGCATAGTGCAACTAGAAGATAAACTCTGGAGATTTAATGTATAGCATAGTGATTACAGTCAATAATACTGTTATATATTTAAAAATTGCTAAGAGTCTAGATCTGAAATGTTCTTACCACTAAAAAGAAGCGATCATCATGTGCCATGATAGAGGAGTTAGCTAAAGCTATGATGGTAATTGTATTGCAATATATAATGTATCAAATCAACACATTATACACCTTAAACTTACACAATGTTTTATGTCACTATCTCCATTTTTTAAAAATCAAGCACAGCACTCTTTCCACCGAGGCAGGGCATCAGAATCTTTCTTATCACAGTGCTTTAGGTACCCATATCTTTATTTGTCATCTCTGGTCTAGGTTATTATGTTCTATAATTCCGTTTCTGCTAATTTTGGATGATGAGCCCATGTAAATTAGTATGATTTTATCATATGGTGCATCTTTAGTTTTTTACTCCAACCTACATTATCATTTCTATTGAAAATTGGAAGAAATAGGCCTGAAGGGGACTAAAAAGTCTAATTCAGAATTAGAGGTAACCAGGAAGCATCAACTCTGAATTTTTTCCATGAACAAAATAAGCTACTAAATGATAAGTGAATTAATAAATAATAAGCAATTTTACACATACTACTTCATTTGATCCTCTCAAAATCCCTGGGAGGTAGCTAGGGCAGGAATCTATATTTTATTGATACTTAAACTGAGGCTCAGAGAGGTTATATGACTTTCCCAAGGTCACGCAGCTGGTAGAAACAGAACTAAAGTCCAGGTCTTTTATTCCTATAATGGGTTTATTGGCTCATTCATCTGTTCTACATAATTTTACTGAAAGTGACAATTTTACTTCTATGTGCCTTCTGGACGCTTACAGTCTATGTTCATAACAGGTTAAGCATTTGAAAGTACATACAAAATCAGATAGTGCACAGAGTCAGGTGTAGCGAGAGTGGAACGGGATTGGTAAAAAATATTTGGTACCCTTAGACCAGCGGTTCTCAACCTGTGGGTTGCGACCCCTTTGGGGGTCGAACGACCCTTTCACAGGGCTCGCCTAAGACCATTGGAAAACTAAAAGATATTTACATTACGATTCATAACAGTAGCAAAATTACAGTTATAGAGTAGCAATGAAAATAATTTTATGGTTGGGAGTCACCACAACATGAGGAACTGTATTAAGGGGTCGCGGCACTAGGAAGGTTGAGAACCACTGCCTTAGACCAGTCACAGTGAGATTGTTTGGGCCTGATTCAGGAATGAAGTGGAATCCCTGTGCATCTAGGACCCAAAGTAGCTGCAGACCCAGGGCCTTTTCCATTCAAGGCAAATAGGTTAAGCAAGGTGTGGACAGGCTCTTTACTAGCAAGTTGGTTCCACAAACGGTAGGTTTTCATACTAAGTGCACCTTGCTGATACTTTCTCAATGTAACCACAATAACTTTTCCTAGAATCATTGTGGAACAAAGAGACAAAATGATGTGTACTTAGACTCATATACGGTTTTCTACTTAGCTATCTCTTTGTTGGTACATGAAGAAATACCCATTCGCATCCTCCTTTATCTTTCGTATTTCCTTTCAATCTATAGGTTGGACAAAATGCTCCAAACTCAAGTTCAAAGAAAGCTGCAGAGATCACTGTTATACACCAGACATACTTCTGAAGAGTTCCGCTCTGCTTCATATGCTGAATGAAGGGTACTCCACTGGCTTCTCCCTGTTATCAGTCATGGGCAGATTCTCACCAATTTCATACTAATATCTTCAGCAGGCACATTACAAACAATAATACCAGGCCAATGAGGAGGAGCCTCGGCTTAGCAGGTACCCTCATGCCACTGGGACTGACTGAGGCACAAGCCTCTGAGATTCACTTTGTACTTCCACAAAAAGTGGGTATCTTCTCGTCCCATCAAATGAATACAGAAAGTCTTCTGTCTCGGCACTGTGAATGGATCTACTGCTCTTTTTGATGAAAGGTTGAAACACAGCTTCCAAGGAACTGGGCAGAGCAGCCAGGGCTGTGGCACAGTTCACCAGCTCCTGTTATCCTCACATCTGACTTCATGCTCACTGGCTCTCAACTGGCTTACAGGAGGGCTCCTGTTTTTCCAGGCTGACAGCCACAGGTTTATGATTTAGCTTCTGCCACCACTACTTGTAGCTATCAACACACTGGTGAAGGGAGCCGACTTTAAGCATTCCAGAAGTCATCGCCCAGGGGCTTAGGGGCTGCATACCAACAGGACCCAGATGAGGTCCGATAATACAGGGCTCCTAAAGTGGGACTGACACTATATCCTACCATGATAGTGAGCTGCATACATTCTGAACAAGGGTGCCAGAGCAAAATGATTATGACGATCTTTCTCATGGAGCCGCAGCTATAAGTCAAGTCTAACCTGATTAAGAGTTTGGTGAGAAAGTGGAAGGAGCTGTTAAATGTTAAAGCAGCCTTTAGGGAAGAAAGGGAGTAGCAGGAGGGTCAGGGTGTTGTCCTGCTTCTTTTCATAAGAGGCTGAAACCATTCCATTTTGTTTTGCTGAAATGTGTCTGTTGCTAAATAATTCTGTTTTCTTAGTTCTCTGGTGAAAACCATATATAAATTGTAGCCTTTTTTCTTTCATTTCAAGTATTGTCCAAAAAGTGATTCTCAAAACTATACTAACAGGAGAATATATCTTGCCCCAAACCCTAATTTCATAATCAAGCTCAGCCTGGAAGAATGGAACAGATACAAAGCATGGATGATGGTAGTTTCCAAGGAAGTCCTGGATATCCTCTAGGGATTCTAAAGTTCCACAGACCTTTGGAAATATAGTAGGTAACGATGACAGAGCACAGGGACTGGCATTTGGATAAATGGGCATATTATTTACACCCTTCCACTGATTCACAACATCACCTCCAGTTTATCCTGCCATTTATGGCTCACTCCGACCATGAAATAAGGGGAAAAATAGCTTGCTCCTTCCCAAGACACGTAGGGAGAATTATTAAAAGCATTCTATACTTAGAAGCTCTTGTTCTAAGACTGATGATTACATTCGTCCTCAGCCTTCCCAAACTCATCCACCACAGAATGTCCTTTAATCCAGAAACATAAGATTTCCCAGTAGATGAAAACTGGGGCAAAGTCTACATTCGTTAACTCTTCCACGAAAGTATAACTCAGGTAACATTTATAGTGACTTCCTTCACAAAAATTCACTGATGGGGTCAAAATTGTTTATTTTGCTTTGGGGACAATTTGTTTCCCCTGACAAAACAAGGTCCCTCTGAGGACTTTCTGCCTCCCTAATCAGTTAACCATTTTGAATTCCATAGTCTCTTACCAGTGGAGACCTTTGAAAACTAAGAGATGGGAGAGATAGCAGAAGGGAAGGGAGAACTTCCATATGGACTTTGGGATGGGTACTTTAGGCTGCAGATCACTTCAAAGCAGGGCACAATTCTCTGTCACCACTATAGAATAAATTACAGTTTCAACTTGATGAAACACTGTTTCTGTGGAGTGCCAATTATTCCTCTGCGAAGTGACTAGTCAGCAAGGTTTTTACTGCAAAGTCTTTCTCATTAAGTGACCACATTTGATTTTTCAATTATTAAAGTGCATTCTAACACTTTTTAGAAAATACTGGAAAATATAAAGCATTAAAAAAAGGGGGCCGGCCGAGTGGCACGTTGGTTAGGAGTTGGCTTGGGACGCCAGCTCTGAGCAGCAGGGCCCTGGTTCAGATCCGACATGAGGGCCAGTGACGCTGCGCCCTCCACAGCTAAGATACTGAACAACAGCTAGACCTGGAACTGGGCTGCTGTGAGTCACCATAGTCACATGAGTCACATGAGACAGCGTAGGCTGCAGTGGGGCTGGCCGGCAGCTGGCGTGTGCTTTCGTGAGCTGCTGTGAGCCACTGTGAGCGGCCGTCCAATGGCAGGTGAGCGACTGCCTCACCTGGGAAGAGTGCAATGGTAATACCAACATGGACCAGTGAAGCAACGTCCTCCACAACTAGTTGAAGAACAAAAGGACAGCAACTTGTCTGTTCCCCTTTCCCTGATTCCCCAGTGCTGTTCCCCTTCCCCAATTCCCCAATAAAATCTTTAAAAAAATAAAAATAAAGAAAAAATTTTATACCAAATCCTCCTTCTCAGAGATAACCACTGATAACACTTCGATGCATCTCTTTATATACATTATAAATACATACCCTGGGCCAGGCGAGTGGCTCAGTTGGTTAAGAGCTTGCTCAAGAGTGTGAGCTCTGAGCAACAGCAGTTTGAGTCCCAGCCCAAGCTGAGCTGCCAACAGGTGGCAGATGGCTCAGCCTAAAAAAAAAAAAAAAAAAAAGAAATACATACCCTTACACATACAAAGACATATGTTACACAAATAACATCATGCTCTTCATACCATTTTAAACCTGTTCCCTCTTTTTGGCTAACGTATTACTACCATATTTCCAGTTAGCACAAGTATTGGGTTGTTGGAAAAGTCATGACGCACGTTTGCAACAGATGGCACTAGTTCATTTTTGGAAGTACTAGAGTCATTCATATCTATGTTATTGCTATGTCATTTGACAGCTGACAGGTCTAGCTTCATTCAAAAAACAAATTGAGCAATTTGGTTGAGTTTTGGAGATTTTACAAGTTGAAGATGGAAGACCAAACTGTGCATTTTTGCCATATTTTACTGTTTTACTTCCATAAAAGGAAGAACACGCGTCAATCTTGTGAAAAGTTGCATAAAGTTTACGGTGACAATGCTCTACAAGAACATCAGTGCCAATGATGGTTCAAGAAATTCCATGCTGGTGATTTTTATCTCAACGACGCTCCTCGGTCAGGGAGGCCCACTGAGGTTGATGATGACAAAATAAAGGCATTGATCGAGTTAAACCCACGTTACATGACACGAGAGATTGCAGAAACATTGACCATCCATCATTCAAGCGTTCGCGACCACCTGAAGAAGCTGGGATACATAAGCAAGCTCGTTATTTGGGTTCCACATGAACTCAAAGAAGTTCATTTGACGGCACATATAAACATCTGTAATATGCTCATTAAACATGAGGAAAACGATCCTTTTTTGAAGCGACTGATAACGGGTGATGAGAAGTGGATTGTTTACAACAATGTGGTGCGCAAACAGTCTTGGTCCCGACATGATGATTCACCTCAAATGACATCGAAAGCAGACGTTCACCAGAGGAAGGTTATGCTCTCAGTGTGGTGGGATTTTAAAGGTGTGTTTTTCAAGCTCCTACCAAAGAACCAAACTATCAATTCAAATGTGTACTGTTGGCAATTGGACAGTTTGAATGAATCCATCATCCAGAAACGTCCAGAGCTTGTTAATTGTAAAGGAGTTGTGTTCCATCGCAACAACGTGAGACCACACACGTTTGATCACCCGTCAAAAATTATTGGAGCTTGGATGGGATGTGTTGCCACACCCACCATACTTGCCTGACCTTGCGCCGTCAGACTTCCACTTGTTTTGCTCTCTTCAAAACTCCTTGCGTGGTATAACGTTCAATTCAGATGAGGCTGTAAATCAGTTCAGTTTTTCGCAAATAAAGACAGGTCCTTCTATGAACGAGGAATTATGAAAGATGGCAAAAGGTTATCGAACAAAAATGGGCAATATATCATTGATCTTTGTTCTATATATAAATAAATGTCCTTTGAAAAATATAGACAAAATACGTCATGACTTTTCCAACAACCCAATATTAAGTTGTGTTTTTTTCAAGTCTTACAGTAGAGAAGACTGGAAGTCATTTCACCTTTTCTAAGGGTCTAAGTTTTCCCAATACATTTTGATAGGTCCAATTAAGGCAGGTAGTTTCTTAGGGCAGAGAAGGCACATTTACAAAACATCCAATTAAAACTTTTGAAAGTATTGCCGAATGACATTAATAGTTGTATTTGTACTTGTGCTAAAGCATGGTTTTGTTCAATATAAACACTTAAATTATACAACAATTTTATATTTCTGTTTTGTCATTTCTTCACTTTTTAGATAACCCTGTGTTCTCAAAACATCCAAGTGACCTAGGACTCTCTGGACCTCTGAAAAGCCCGAGCAGGCCTTTAGCATCCCTCCTTTTCTGCACAGCCAGGCTAGCGCAAGGGGCTAACTAATCAGAGGGGGACTTAAAGGTGGTTTTAGCCCTAATCGTTCTCCCCATCCCTGTTGCCCCTTTAAGCACTTTCCAGCAGATTCTGACTTAGAGCGCTTTCACTATGTTTATGCCCAGAACTAGCCATGTCCCAAGGAAAATTTGCTACATCCTAATGACGAGTACTAGGAACCTTTCTCTTTTTCCCCCTGGACAGGTTGAGTGTTATGGCCCCTCCTCCCCTCACACTCTGATCCTCCACTCCTGCCTTCACTCCTCTCCCATTCTCAGAAAGGATTCCATTTTCCATTTCATACAATAGCCCTAATGTTGCCATGAGTGCAACATGTATACTTCCTAGTTCTTAGGCTTGAAGCCTGTAGTGTCTTCTCTACATCTACATTTGTATATCTCTATATTACTTTGTATCCAACAAGCACTATGTTCATAGTAGGCATTCAAAAAATGTGTTGATAATATCACACCACTAAATGGATAGCTGAGGGTATCATAACTGACTTTCTAGAAGAAAATTAAGTTAATATTTATTTTTACATCAAAGCTGCTATTGGTTACCTAATGGATGCAAACCAGTGAAGGGCCATCCTATAATTGTTGGTAATACTTGAATTCATCTCTCTAGGCTATATGCTTTTCTCTCATGTTTTTTTTATCTCTTCATCTTTCTCTTCTTGTTCCTTATTCCAACTTTTCTTTTTCCTTTCCTTCTTTTTCTTTCCGTTATTCAGTGACCTG